ATAAGGATTACCAAGGTAGGTTAAGAGTAATAACAAACTGTTTTTGAATACACAAGGGGGGCTTAAGTTATGAATAGCTATAGCCTCAGCGTATTTCAATAAGCACCTTTGACCGTTTTTATAGATGACCTTACGGACTGAGTTAACATCAGTTTTATGGTTCATCTCGATTAGATGTTTAGCTATAGACGAAGTTGATAGTCTGACACCTGCATCTATTGGTGTTCCACAATTCATTTGTTTTTCTAACCATTTTGGGATATGCTCTTCCACCCTCACATACAAAGCACAATTACTCCTCCCTATGTATGTGTGACCACACACACACACATGAAAATTGGTAAATAGTGTGTGATGTGACATAACCACTTGTACACTTTTGAGGTTTGCAGTGGAGCATATTTTTAGCCTATTCAACAATTACAAGCTGGGCTGCATAATAGGTTCTACGGATGATCGAATTCAGCCTTTGTCTCAATATCCTACTGTTTATTTCCCCGTTATATGGTAATTTGATGAAAACCATTTTCTTAAGGGCGGTATGGATTGTAGGTTTAGAGATTAGTTGACTTCTACACCTGTTTAAAAATTTTAAAGGATACTTCGTTTTAATTTCGTTTTTTTAAACCGTTAAAAGTGAACTTGGTTTGGACATATATGATATTTCGTTTTCTTTGTCTATAACATCAGTCGTGCAAATACGCTGAATCCTCTTAAATAGATACTTCATCAAGCCTCTCTTATACTGTAATGGACATAAAACTGTGAAAATTAAGGTATTGCCCTGTCCAAGTAGGCTTTCTGTAGATAGACCGTCTTGTTGAACCATCATCTCTTGGACTCAGAAGTATATCTAAAATGCTAGCTGGCTGCGACTTTCTTCCTCGCATGTAAGACTAATATGATTTTGTACAGAGTTAAGTCTGTCCAATAGACGACTCGCATCTTCATGATCGTTGCATATCAAAATGTGTATTCAAAAACAGTTTGTTATTACTCTTAACCTACCTTGGTAATCCTTATTTGATTGGATTACCAATCTTGAAATGAATTTTTGATTTTCCCGTCGATTGATTGGACCGAAGTGCTCGGTCTCAGGTTGACATGTCGGCTTCTTGTGCAGATGCTTCGACGATGTCTGGGTATTTAATTAGTATACAATTGGTGGATTCCACTGCTAGCCACCATCCAACAATTGTGGATTACCAATCGTTTGTGTTAATCATTCTTAATTCCTTTTTTTGTCACTTTGTTTAATTCAACTTTTCCATATATATTGACTTGACAAGTAAATGTGTCATCAGACTGTTCGAAATGTATAGCGCAAATACATCACATCACATTTTTCAGATAATCTCCGTCTTCTAATAAAGGAGAAAGAATAATAACATGGAAAACATGAGGGTTTTCCTTGGATATGGAAGGCCACAAATAGTGAATGGATCTACGCCATCGAAACTGTTTTAAGCCACATTATTAACAGTTTTATGCCACCAATGGTGCTCAGAATGCTGCAGATCCTAAACGGTCAGTCTATATGTCAATATATGGTTCAAACTAACAGTCGAATACTTCATGCATTCATGCCATGTTTGATTTTACCACTCCTAATGCTTTTCCCCCACCTTATCCTTATATCAGTTAATATTACGCAATAAGGAAGGAGAGTATGCTATGCTAAGTATGCTTAACACATATGCTAACCGATTTCAATCGATTCACTTTTACAATCTCATTGATGGACTCCATTTCCTTACCTAACAGGCACACACACACAATACAACTAACCTCAATATATATATATATATATATACCGCTTAACACGGAAGATAGACAGCAAATATCTGTGTGATTAAAGGCAGTAGCTAGCCGGGCTTTTCATATCACTCTGATGAAATGAACTTTGTTAAGTATGCCGATGATCTAACTACTTCAACGTCTGTTAACTCCCAACTTGACTGTGCTAAGATGAACAGCTTTCTATCAGGAATTAGCAAATGGTCTTCGTGTAACGGCCTTAAACTAAATCCTTCCAAATGCCAGATGCTAATTTCAGTTTCCGATGTAAAAGAAAGTTAAATGAAGCTGCTGGTTCCTATGACCTTTGCAAAATTGATGACACTGATATGGAAATCAAGTCTGAAGTTAAGTATTTTGGATTTATTCTTTCTTCTGACCTATCTTGGTCTTCCCATGTCTTAGCGATATCTAAAAGAATATTTCGTCTGACTTTTTACATTAAGCAGTTGACGCACTCAGACATAACCCAACCCCTCTTCTTACAGTTTGTCAACTCGTGTATTTTACCTATTCTTTTTTACTGTCCACCCTTATTCTTTCCTGGATTGCTTAAAAAATATGACTATGTCATATTTCGTGGAACTCTGAAGACTGTCCGTCAGTGGGGCGAGTGGTATCCCATTGGGCCATATCGTTGACATTGTCACTGATAGGCACTTGATGTCATGCAACAAATTTGCTAAAGGAATTTTGTCAGACTCTGAGCATCACTTTACTTACTCGCAGCTCCAACCTTGTGTCTCCTCAGGTAAAACAAGAAGTCTTTTTAGAAGAATTTACGCACGTACGTCTAAGTATAAAAAATTCCACTATACCATATTTGGCACGTACTTTATGTGATGAAAATAGTGTCAGGCATGAACGAACTAACCTTCTTTGCACTACTAAATAAACCATTTCTTCCACCCTTACAGTACCAAACTTTATTGTTATTGTATTTCTTACATTTTATTATAATCCTCTCATTTTTTTGTTTTTTGTTATTTTTTCATAAGTGTGAACATCGTTTAAGCTGTGTTAATAACTGTTAATTTTGTCTTTCCCCTCACCATACTATATCAACAGAACATTAGATTCAATACTGTGTAGTAACATGCTAAAATTTCCAAACTGAATCAACAATACTGTTTGAAACAAACTCACTGTTATTATTATTATTATTATGTTTAATAATCTCAATTCGTGCTTAGAATATTTTTGACTTTATATCGTAAACGTGGACAAATTCCTCTGGTTACTTTTGATTTAATTTTAATTTTATTTATATTTTAAGTAAATCAGATGCGAGATATTGTGACAAATGCTGAGAATTCCATTCTGTATTATAAGTAGTGTTTTTGGAATAATAAAGTAAAATAAATTATTATTATTCTACTTACAATAACCACATCACATCTCATAGTCTTAAAATAAAAGAGGACACCGACCACTACTGAGCATGTTCTTCGATCGATAGGCAGATATCACATATACGCCAGATATGATGTAAGGTGAGGAGTGCCAAGAAAATACATTGCACTGATTAAGGCACTCTACTCGTACTCATACAGCCAGGTGAGGGCTTACGGCGAGTTGTCATCTGAACTGATGACGACTAGCGGTGTCCGTCAAGGATGCCCACTATCATCTTCCCCTCTTCTATTCAACTTCATCATAGATGTACTAATGGACTTAACCCTAAGTGACTTCAGCGACTGAGGGATTGACTTGCTACCAGGGAATAATAGTCTCGTTGACTTAGAATATGCAGACGATATAGTCCTTCTAGGCGAGGACGCTGACAAAATGCAGAGTCTTCTGAACACTTTGAGCTGCAATCTACGAATGTTTGACATGCGATTAGCGCCCGCCAAATGCAAGATGATGTTACAGGACTGGACTACGCTGACTCCTCCTACCTTAGAAATAGGAAGTGAAGTGGTAGAGCACGTTGACCGCTTCACTTATTTGGGAAGTACCATCAGCCAACGCCACGGGTTGATCTCTGACGAAATCTCAGCACGGATACAGGGGGCTAGTTTCGCATATGCCAGTTTACGCCGCCTCTGGTGTAGACGAGATATTCGACTATCGACCAAAGGGCGGGTGTACTGCTCATCAGTCCGCTGCATCCTCCTTTATGGCTGTGAGACCTGGCCACTGAGAGTGGAAGACATGAAAAGATTAACTGTCTTTGATCATAGGTGCCTGCGTTCTATCTCCGGTGTGAAGTGGCATTATAAGGTGAGCAATATTGAGGTTAGGCTTCGGTCGAGTTCTAGGTAAACAGGGGAAATCAATCGACGAAGTTGTGAAGTCACAAAGACTGAGGTGGTTAGGACATGTGTTACGTATGCCTGGTCATCGCCTTCCTCGACAATGGGCAATGTTAGCGGATATAGGGTCAGGCTGGAAAAAGAGCTAGCGGCAGTCAAACCAAAATATGGCACCAGTCAATGAAATCTATTACAGTTAGTCTAAGCCACGTAGGAAGGTGTAGACTTCCTGACTGGTTGGGGCGCTCGGGATGGTAAAAATCAATGGTTGGAAACAATTGGTGACATGGCTCAAAATCGTTCTCAATGGCCGGTGGAGGTGCATCCACTCCTTGTGATTTATGATTTCCAATGAAACTGTTTTCTTCTTCGTTATTACTCCTCCTTTGTCTCACACCTCTGTTTACTGTCTCTATTATGCTTTCCTTGTACTTTCTTCTCTTGATTTGTGTGCTACAAGAAGGGAGTGTGGCGACTTGAACTGGTGCACATTTGTGCAAAGTTCTATGTCGAAAACAGACAGATAGACAGACAAGGTGAGGAATGCTAAACGAGTCCTTCTTATCCTTCAGAATAATCACTACATAACTTTGATATTTTTAGAGAGATAAAACAGAAGAAGACAAAGAAGAACTGTGCATTACATAACACAATCATAATCATCATTATTACACAATGAAATTATAACAACAACAACAACAAGAAAAACAGCGATAATAATAATAATAGCAAAAACATAAAAAAAACAGAGATAAGAAAAAGCTGAAATTTCGTGTTCACATTCATCATCTGTTGTATGAAAATTATTCATCTTTTTTTCCTTTGAAAAAATAATAAAAGGAAAATAGTATGATTCTCTCCGTCTCTCTCGTGTCAGCACTCTTTCTACATTTGTATGAAACAGGATTAGGATTCGATTAGATTGATTAGATTGAAAGAGTTCAGTTATACGCACGCGCCTCCCATCGATGGTAGTACACCGATTTGTTGAAGTGTTGCCAATTCCATTGGTGTATGATAACGACTAAATTCATTATAATAAACTTGTTGAGATAATTCAGACAGAAAATTGCACAAATACTCCTGAAATAAACAAAAAAAAGTCAGAATACAAATAAAAAGTCAACTTAGAAAGGAACTTTGTGAGTTTTCCGTCTCCTACTTTTCAAAATCAACCTTGTGAATTCTAACTTCTGCCACTTTGCGATATAACAAAGAGGATCTACTTCATCCTGACATGACAGAAACCTTACCAACCACTACTTCTCATTAGAAGAGCTTCATAAATCATATTCATAAAGTCAGTCACCAGTAGTAAAGTCCAAACCAATCCAATCACAGTAGTGCTCTACCAAATGAGCTGAAAGACCCAATCACTAGTTATGTTATGGTCTCGTCGTAATCATCATGGGTAATACTCAACCGGAATATCATCTTCGGTCAATCCTAATCATACTGAATCAGAATAAGGGGAGGAGCAAGTTGCATTAATTGGTAGTGAGTAAGTTGGTGCCATATCTATACAAACAAGACCAGTGGTCGATATTTATAGAATAAACAAGTATATTTTCATTACTTTCATTAGTATTCCTATTTTAAAGTTAAGAATTATATATAAATGAAAGTAATTATCAGATAAGCCTCACGATGAATATTCACCATCATTATATTGTCTGACTACAAAGCGGAATGAGGTGATAGAGTCTAATAATAATAAAGATACTTAAAAGAAGTCATCGATTCTCATGATAGTTGTAAGATTGACGACAGTGATATAGGAATCAAATCAGAAATTAAGTATCTTGAGCTTATTCTCACTTCTGATCTCTCCTGGTCTTCCCATGTCTTAGCGATCTCCAGTAAAATATTCCGCCTGACATTTTACATTAAGAAGTTAAGACAGCCGGGTATAAATCAACCCCTCCTCTTACAGTTCATAAACTCTTGCATCCTACCTATTCTTCTTTATTGTTCACCCTTATTCTTTCCTGGTTTGCTTAAAAACGACTATGTCACAATTCGTAGAATGCTGAAGACGGTCAGTAGGGTGAGTGGTGTCCCAGTGGACCACATAGTTAACGTCGTTGTCGATAGGCACTTAACTTCGTGCAATAAATTTGCTAAAGGGATTTTTCTGACTTGGAGCATCCGCTTTACCCTCAGCTTTCACCTTGCATCTCCTCAGGTAGAACAAGAAGTAACTTCAGAAAACTGTATGCTCGCACATCTAAGTACAGAAATTCTATGATACCATACTTGTCACGTATTTTATGTGATGAAAATAGTGTCAGGAAAGAATTAACTAACCTTTTTTCATCTAGTAAATAAACAATTTCCTCCATCCATCCTTATATACCTTCAAGTTTTACTTTTATTACTTCTATCATATTTATGGTCCTGTTGCTTCTTTGTTTTACTCTCATAATTGCAAACACCAACTTATCTCTATGACGGCTGCAATCTTTGTTTTTCCCCTCACCATATCATGTAAAGAGAAGATTATATTCAATATTTTTAAACATTCTAGGATTCCTATACCGCATATAATGACAATACTGTGTGAAACAAGCCCACGGAATTTTTCACTTGTATTATTATTATTACCCTAGCTGTTATCACTATTATTATTCCCATTTTATATGCTGCATGTTTCTTACATTACCCCTATTGTAAATGCGGAAGACTTTCTGTGTGATTAATTTTATTTATAATTTGAGGAAATTAGATGCAATATTGCGATTAATGCAGAAAATTCCATTCTGTATCACAAGTACTGTTTTTGGAATAAAGTAAATAATAATAATAATAATAATAATAATAATAATAATATGCTTTATTCCAAAACAGTACTTGTGATACACAATGGAATTCTCAGCATTTTACTACAATATTGCGCATCCAGTTAGTATATCAACAATAAATAAAATTCTACATAGATTAAGGGTAATCTCAGTTCATTATGAAAAAAAATATTGGCATGTCTGTAACAAAGCCAAAATTGAACAGAATGTTTGAAGGTGTTAGAAAAGTAGATGCTGGCATATTTACTGGCGTAAGCGGTAGCAAAAAGATCGAGATATACAGAGTGTGAAAGAACGAAGAAGTGAGGAAAAAAGTGATTAGGATTAATATAAACTAAATAAAACTATTGTCTACATAAAATTATCAGAGTTAATTGAAACTATTACTTTGAGTGATGTAAACAGTAAGAAAGGTAAGTCAAACTGATGAAGAAGGCAGTACATATTGACGGGACACAATAGTAAGACAAAGCTGCCTGTCTACTATCACCGATTATCTACCTAATTGTAGTGAAGTGAATCATACAGCAGACAGTGGGGAATGAGAAGACAGGAATACATTGAACCGATAAGAAGACTCTAAATGAATTTGATTTTCCAGACAATATTTGTGTCTAATGTCACATGAACTCGAAGAACTATAGGCAAAAACCAATAAGTTGACAGAATAGGCAGACAGTAAGTAAAGACAGAACTTCAAGTGAACTTAGAGAAGACAGAAGTGATGAAAATGCCGATCCTATAACGAATGCCGAACAACGATTATTGTCAGTGGGAGAAATCTAAAGGAAGTATGAACTTCTTTCACTTTCCATCTCAACAGGATCTTTTCAACTACAGACAGACGGATGCAGATGTTAAAGCCAGGATGGTAAAGATAAGACAGACTATTCATCACTTTGAAATGAATTTGGAAATTTGTTGTAGTCAGCATAAAGAACCAAATTCGGATTATCAAAACCAATGTTAAGTCACTTTTATTATTATTATTATTATTTTTTATTATTATTATTATTATTATTATTGTATCCTTTAGTTCCTAGAGGAACATAGGGCTTCAGCTGCGCACCTCCATTGACTTCGGTTTTCTGACAACTTTTTCACCTTGCTCCAGGTCTGTCCACATGCTTTCATCTCCTCCTCGCATGACCTCCTCCAAGTCACCCTTGGACGACCAACTCGCCGCCTCCCTTTCGGGTTCCACTCGAGGGCTTGTCTAGTGATGTCACTTGATGTTTTCCTCACTTTTTTATATGGGTCAGAAATTTGACATGTGCGTCACAAAAATGATTTTCCGACAGGCTACTTGAGACTTTTATCAACAGTTGCCCAATTCGCTGACTGGCTCCATTCGAAAGATCGAATGGCCAGTAAGAAGGAGTTAGCAACAAGAAACTCTGACTGAGGACGAACCAACCAAGAGCCGATTGTTCAACAAATATGTAGGAGAACATGCAGATGGATGAGGCATACGTTGAGGAGATCGTCGAATGACATCACACACCAAGTCATCGTTCGAGTGAAACCCCAATGGGAAACAACAAATGGCACCCAAGAGCGACATAAAGGAGTTCGTTTGAGAAGGAGATGAAAGCTTATAGGCAATCGTGGAGCCAGCTCAAGAGGAATACAGAGAACAGGATAAAAAAATGCAGATGTGCTGATGAAATCGCATGTTCCACTAGGAACCCAAAGGAATAAGAATAATAATATACTGGCACAGTGAGTGTAGCAGTAGACATCAATACAAAATCATGCACACAGAAATACAATAGTTCAAAGTTACTCCATTTCAAATCAATGCATAAAAACAAGACAAGTAGAGGGACCACTACACAAACCATTGTGAATAATTTCGAGATGTGCCAACAATCCAGTAGCCTTTAACATCTACTCTGTTATGTATGGTATGTGCAATACGACTAAGTTGTAACAAAAGCAAGACGAGGAACCTAACCATACTATTACTTGGGATATGACTCGAACTATGTCTAGTTTAGACAGACAAGACAAACAGGAAGATGGCTGAGGACTTCTGTCTCTCTGTCTGTTTTCGACATAGAACTTTGCACAAATTTACGGAAGTTCAAGTCGCCACACTCCCTTCTTGTAGCACACAAATCAAGAGAAGAAAGTACAAGGAAAGCATAATAGAGACACTAAACAGAGGTGTGAGACAAAGGAGGAGTAATAACGAAGAAGAAAACAGTTTCATTGGAAATCATAAATCACAAGGAGTGGATGCATCTGCACCGGCCATTGAGAACGATTTTGAGCCATGTCACCAATTGTTTCCAACCATTGATTTTTACCATCCCGAACGCCCCAACCAGTCAGGAAGTCTACACCTTCCTACGTGGATGGCTTAGACTAACTGTTGTAGATTTCATTGACTGGTGCCAAGTTTTAGTTTGACCGCCGCTAGCTTTTTTCCAGCCTGACCCTATATCCGCTAACATTGCCCATTGTCGAGGAAGGCGATGACTACGCATACGTAACACATGTCCTAACCACCTCAGTCTTTGTGACTTCACAACTTCGTCGATTGATTTCCCCTGTTTACCTAGAACTCGACCGAAGCCTAACCTCAATATTGCTCACCTTATAATGCCACTACTTCACACCGGAGATAGAACACAGGCAACTATGATCAAAGACAGTTAATCTTTTCATGTCTTCCACTATCAGTGGCCAGATCTCACAGCTGGCCATAAAGGAGGACGGAGCGGACTGATGAGCAGTACACCCGCTCTTTGGTCGATAGTCGAATATCTCGTCTACACCAGAGGCGGCGTAAACTGGCATATGCGAAACTAGCCCCCTGTATCCGTGTGCTGAGATTTCGTCAGAGATCAACCCGTTGGTACTGGCTGATGGTACTTCCCAAATAAGTGAAACGGTCAACGTGCTCTACCACTTCACTTCCTATTTCTAAGGTAGGAGGAGTCAGCGTAGTCCAGTCCTGTAACATCATCTTGCATTTGGCGGGCGCTAATCGCATGCCAAACATTCGTAGATTGCAGCTCAAAGTGTTCAGAAGACTCTGCTAGATTTTGTCAGCGTCCTCGCCTAGAAGGACTATATCGTCTGCATATTCTAAGTCAACGAGACTATTATTCCCTGGTAGCAAGTCAATCCTTGAATCGCTGAAGTCACTTAGGGTTAAGTCCATTAGTACATCTATGATGAAGTTGAATAGAAAAGGGGATGATAGTGGTCATCCTTGACGGATACCGCTAGTCGTCATCAGTTCAGATGACAACTCGCCGTAAGCCCTCACCT